TACGGCAACAAGTTCTTCACTGTCAATACTCGTGTAGCCAGCGCAACCACCATCATTCTTCTTACTGGCCAGTGCTAATGGGCTCATAACCCCTTACATTAGTAACGTCTTATTTGTACAGCAAAACATGCAGAGCCAATGCGAGGTAATATTACAGTATCATTTTTATGCGGTAGGATTTGAATGGGTATACGTCCTATGGAACTACTTATTGCACTCGTCGAACTGCATTCCTTTCTCTACGGGGAATTAACAGTTTTGCTATCCACATTTATAAGTACTACCAACTATTGTAATCAGATTAGGGTTTAAAAGACAACATAATCACAATATGAACACAAATGCCACAGTCAATGAGAAAAGAAATACCACATGACAAAGTTTAGCAATATTTCAAACCTTAATCGAAATACTTCAAGTTAAAGTAGACTAAGAATGCCTTTTGACGCAACAAGTACACAAAAATAAGGACAATCACAACGAGTAGACAACTGTTAATAAACACCTGTATCTTCTGGATGATAGCTTTCGTAGATCTCCAAGTTTTTTTCATTTTCCAAATCTTCTCCGTCAAATGTGATTCGATTGTTGCATGCCGTGCTTCTTATTTAAACACAAATGATCCATTTTGAGAAACATAAATATGAAAACGATGTTAGACAACGTATTAGACAATAACGAATTCTGGAATACGTGTTTTCTCATTTCAGCTGAATTCCCAATGTGTTTTGAGATTAGTTTTATGTTATTAATGGTCATATCACTACAGTGTGGACTATTCCAGATGTGTTTATTTTCAATTTGTCCTTCCATTGTTGTATAATGTCCCAAACCTCATGCCATTTTCCCTATACACTTCAAACTGTATATTTGACTTATGTTTCAATTCAACAAATAACCAATTAATAAATCATCTGTGGTACTGTTAACATTGGGCCGAGCTAAAAGGTCTCTTCAAAGCACTATTGACAACATAGTTTCTGTGAAACGAACAGAAATTAGGTAACTGAACAAGAACACGGGTAAATTTCACTTTGGTGAATTACACACTCAATAGTACTTGGAGTGTTCTTCACTAGAAATTCTGTCCGTATTCAGTGTCTCACAATTCTTTGTCTTACAATTACGGTAGAAGTAGAAAACTATCCAGCTGAACTATTTAGTTGACATCACGAATCAATATAAATCCAACAACCATCGAAATCTTTCAACCAGTGTACAACTGTAAGTCCTTTACTAACGGTTATTGATTATTCTCATGAAATCTCTTACCAATCAGTTGATTGTCTCATAATAACACAAAACTGTGTCTGACAGACGACTTAAAACACGTTCACAGCACTCGTCAAGCCTTGTTAATTATTACCCATCAATTTTATGCTAATGACATAAACGGTTTTCAATTTTAGATTTATACTACTGTAAAATCTATTAAGTAGCAGTCTGAGCAAATCGCAACAAAACACTCGTGATCACCTTATACATTCAATAATTTTGTTTCTTGTATCGCTCATATTGTAAATCCACGTATAAAAGTTCATTTTGTATTTCTTCTTTAAAGCTCCATGTTTTATGTTTTAATAAACCTCCTACTTAGATTCCCATAAGTTTAGTGTATCTGTTACATTTTAGTGAATTACCTCACAATTATTTAACAACATTCAGTTGTTGTTTGCTTGTATATTCCTATTGTTGTTTAGCACCGCAAATGATCGATTTTTGTCGGAACATATGCATTCTGTGCGGATTGCCTCGATGATGCCGTAATTCACAATCATTATAAGCAAACATGGGTGGTGGCTAGCAGTGGAATGGACTTTGAAGCTCGTTTCGTCTTATTTTAGAGTCGTCAGCTGGGTGTACCTCCATCTCAGAGTTGATGTTCACTCTGGAAATCAAACCCAGTACCGTTCACATGAAACATCATCACGTTATACACTTAGCCACTGATTCCTGATAGTCACTTGCTTGTGCAACGAGGTGAAGTTTAAATACACTTGATGTTGTTTTACTTGTATTTGCCCGTTGTTGTTGAGCACTGTAAATGATCGACCACTTATTGGAATATATACATTCTGTGAGGATTCCCTCGATATTGCCTTAAGTCACGGAAGGACGATGACATAAAGTGCAAAGAAAAGTTTAAATGTTTAAACAGAGTTATTTAATGAGTAAAATTTGAAGTCGAACTACAAATGAATAATTCATCATACAGTGCGACAGCTGAATCGGTAACGAAAATCTTACAGCGCATTGGAATTTAACATAGTAGACTTACTTTGAAGCTATGAACTAAAGATGCTTAAATTTCCCTTACACTAACATCAGTAAGTAGTTTATAAAAATTTGTTAAAGTATGAAGGAGATTTGTTCATTATCTAGATCGTCTTACTCATCGACTGTTAATTCAGCTACTCGATCATGTCGCTTGAAATATGTTTCATTTCCATGTTATTTCCAGTTCGTAAGTGGGAATGTTAAACTGACTAGTTATCCATAGTGTTTCATAACTTCTTTATTAATTGTTTGTGTGGAAACACAAAAACAATCAATCCTGAAACCATTCATTGACAGTTTGCAAATGAACAATTTGCTGTAAGGTACTCAAAATTTACTGAGGGATTCTGTGATTTTGTGTGTTCGAATACATTTGATTGTTATCATAAGAGAGTGTTGTGGAGATTTTAGTCATTTAATAGTTGAATTCATGTATTAATTAAAGCTAGACCACCATCGAAAACCTAGAAGTATTGAACGACCGTTTCGTCCTATCGTGGAACTCTTCAGCAGTGTGCATCTACGATGCCGCGCATGGACTTCGAACCCAGGATCTTTGATCTCTGTCGCTAACACCTAGCCTCTATACCACTGAGCCGGAAAGTTAAAGTGGTAATGTCTAACATCAACCATCTAACATCGACCATCTTCCATTGTCCCGAGTGTAGGATTATGAATATGCACCAGTGAAGAATCCCATACTAGGGCAAAATGGCCATCTACTTCTCCTATGTTTTCAGTGATGATCTAGCCTATATTGAATCATGAATTCAACTACAATCTCCATAACCCACCCTCTATCTGATCATAACACAACAAATCTATGTTGGTATGAAAATATTTGGATAATCAACATTGAAAATTTAATAGAATAAATAAAGATTATCTTAAATAAACTAATAGAGACTGATCTTTATAATCAACCGTTTGTATCAATGTTCAAATAAACAATTGGATGTAATACAATCATAGTTAGTTGACATGTACTTTGTACTAGTTTCAATATACATGGAATATAATTACGATGAGACTGAAATTTGTGGACGACCTTTGAAAGAGAATGTTCACCTATTAAGTAGGACTATATGAAGGTTATAAAGTAATGTGAAGAATAATGATTATGATTTATAGCTGATGGTCAAGGTTAAGAATAAGATTTGGGGTTTTCATAAAGAATTGATATCAGCTTAAATTTCAAAACTTTATTTGATATATGAATTTCGAGCCAAAATCCAAGATCTGTTATCTTGAATTTGATTGGTTCGTTCTTAAATTAGAGTTTCGCCGCTTCACTTGCAAATCTTCCATCAGTTGTCCTATTATATTCTATCTGATTCCTCCAATTCACAGTTCCTTTCTGTCCTTTTTTGAAACTCTGTCTTCATGGTCTTCTGCTACCAGCCATTCAACATTTGACTAGTGTTACATACTACTTATATCTATCGACATCAGTAGCATACACCACAGATATATAACAGTTCGATGATGTCGGTTATGTATGTCTTATCTACTTCCAACGTCTTTGCCTAATTTTCATTTCAACTTAATCTGGTCGGTAGCTCTTCCACGGCTACTGCCGGTCCCAATCACGTGTCAAGGAGGAGTGTTGTGCGTGGGGTCAGCATCACCGTCTCATACACCGCACTGTAATAACTTCTCAGTAATGAAGAATTTTCTACAACTATATTGATCCATTCTATCAACTATATTTGTAATATCACGGTGAGATCACATCCAGAACGTCAAAAGCGTCAGCTATGTTTCATTATTGATTAATCACAATAAAAATATATCAAACAGTTTGACTAAGAAGAAACTCACAATTGTTAATTGATCAAATTACAATTCAATGTCATCAAGCTACGGTTTGGTATTTAAAGATAATAACTCACTCACTCTATACGTATTGACAGTAGTAATTAGAAAACTCAATGGTTACTAGATTAGACTCAACAGACTAAAACTACTCATTACATTCAAACGTCCATCAACATTTTAAACAAAATATGAATAGTGGCACGCGTGTTTCCTCCTATTTGAAACTCATCAGATGGATGTACCCGCATCAGAGTTGATGTTCACTCTGGGATCCGAAATCAATACTGTTCGCTTCAAACCCAGTCACGTTATTCAAGTAAACACTACCAAGTGAATTCAGTAATATTTATTTTCATTTATTCTCGGAGTTCTAGTGAGAAGTCGTGACAAGTGGAGATAATCTGTGTGAAAACAGTTACCTACCTCAGTACAATGGAAGATAATTGCTCAATTTCGCAGGTTAGTTGATGTTAGATATTAGCACCGTTGGATACTGGCCTGCCCGGTTATTCACAGATTAGGAGTTCGCACGCAAGACCGAATATCAGGTTTTCGAATCCCGGGTGCGGGATTGCAAACGCACTACTGAAGAGTCCCACAGTGGGACGAAACAACCATCCAGTGCTTCCAGGTTTTCAATGGCGATATCACATCAATCGATTCATGATCTCAATCAAAAACTTGATGATCTCCATTACCCCATAATGATATTTGTAACAAATTAGAAAGGAATCAGAAACATATAATACCGAATGAATAACAATACACATTATGTAACCATCGGACAAATGATCAATAGCTCATATTGAATGTTGAAGATAATACACATAGAAACAAAATCATAATATCAATCCATAATATGATCTCATTCATTTGTTTATCTAAATGAATTAGGTAGATATAAATTATTGATGTAACTTTGGTAAACCAGCTGATATAATTGATTCAATGCCACATTCATTTGTACCACGTAAAATTTTAAAATAACCATGATCACCCCATTGATCATTCCATGAATTAGCACATAACCAATAGGGTATATGATTATGTTCAATACCCCAACCAAGTATACGTATAGCATGACCACCTAAATATGAACCAGTGATATGTTTATAAACACCAGATTTATAATGAAGAAAATCTTCATAGACATAGAATCCACCTTCAACTGGACCACTTAATAAAATCTCTTTCATGATTGAAATTTCTTCACTGGCTACATTATAAGAAGTTTTACCTTTTGAAAATGAAGAGAAAAGAAAAACAAATATAAATTGAACGGTGGTGTGTACTACTGATATCAACATATATAAGTAGTATGCATCATCATCAATGGAGAATGAAATGATTAAAGGCATAAGGTTAAGAAGATCAAAGAAAAGTGAACCACAACAAAGGATGATTGGTGTGGAAGTGAAAAGACAATCAAATCTGAGACAATTGATTGACATTTTACAAATGAGGAATTTACTGTACGGTTTTCAGATTTGACTAAGATGTTCTGTAATTATGTGTGTTCAAATACATTCGATTGTAATCAGATAGGGGTTTTGTGGAAATTATAGTAATTTAATCGGCGAATTCATGAGTTAATTGAAGCTAGACTAGACCATTGAAAACCTGGAAGAATTGGACGGCCGTTTCGTTTTAAATGGGACTCCTCAGCAGTGCGCATCCACGATCCCATTCGTGGGATTCGAACTTATACCACTAAGTCGGTATTCAACGTTGTTAATGTCTAACTTCAACCAATCCACGAAATTGCGCTACCGTCCACTGTTGTCATCAGTGAGTTACTATCTCATAATAGACCCGATTGAACTCCACTGGTCACGGCTTCTCACTAGAACTCCAGGAAATACCTCTTGGAGACTGTCACTAGCGAGATGATGATGATTAAGGGCACAATCAGATAAGGTTTTCGTGGATATTATAGTAATTTAATAGTTAAGTTCATTCGATTGTCCTCATTTGTCTGTTCTCATTCACAACAATATTAGTAGTAGTAGTAGTTGTTGTTGTTGTAGTTGTTGTAGTTGTAGTAACCACATATCTGAGTATATCGTCAGTGATGGATAGTTATACGTCTATATTTTATTAATAATTTTACCGTCGATAAAAAAAATTCTATGGAATACTGTCTATATTTGTTTGATCACATTGTTCTTCAAGTTGTTTGATTTCTATAGATCAAGTTGTCATGTTATTACTGATCTAAACAACTTGAAGATAGATTTTGGATCAACACAAATAGTTGTTACAGTCATAGACGTTTTCACTCATCTATTCTGATTGAAACTGAACTATATTGTCTTCATGACCACACTTACTATCAGCTTGTGTTGAAAAACTATCAGTGATTTGTAAGACCTGGATTTAAAGTAAGTAATCTCATTTGACGACTAATGTCACCTTTCTAGATATAATTCTTTATAACTCAGTCAATTAGCTACAATGTAGGACCAGGCACATATATGCATCGGTCCATGTTGCTACAACTCATTAGCACAACAAGATGATACAGGGAGAACGAATCAGTTCGGAGAAAAGAAGGTATAAAGTAATTTTATTCTCATAGTTTGAAGGTAAAACAAAGGGTGTGTGTGTCTACACCATTATGATCGATTCTGAGCCATGTCACCAAGAGTCTCCAACCACTGGTTACGATAGTCACGCGGACCCCAACCAAGTAGTCTGCATCCCCCATCATGGTACAGACTAGAAGTTAGTGACTTCAACCACTGATGCCACGTTTTTGTTTGGCCGCCCCTAACTTTCTTCCAACCAACTCAAACACCGGTTAGCATTGCACGTCGTGGTAATCGGTGTTCGGGCATACGTAACACGTGGCCCAACCATCTCAGTTGATGAGGATTTATAACCTTATCAACGGATTAACTAACATTTCCTAATACCCCATGTCAAATCTCACTATTACTTACCCGGTGATCCCAGCAGATGTGAGCAATATTTCTAAGGCATCTGTGGTCAAATACTAGTAGCTTACGAGTACCTTTCACCCTTAATGGCTACGACTCGCATCGTAAATGTTGAGTCGGCTTTCAGAGAACTTCAACGGAGCCTCTTGAGGCCCAAAAGGAGCCGAAGAGTCCTAGCCAATCAGAGTATGATGGAACATTCTAGAATTCCAACGCGGCGTGCTACTATTGGTCGGTAGTATAATATGTCGTTAATGGATTGGCTGAAATATGATGTTTATTTAACAGACGCCAACGTCGATAAATAACCATGATTTTCTGTACAAAAATGAACTTTGGGACAAAGTATTTTCTCTCATACTTACGTCTTCTCTCTGATGTTCAGGTCTCTGTGTAGTTCTAGTATACGGGTCATCGGAATAGCTTAGGAAATAAATATGGCGTTCAGTCGACAAGACTTATCAGTAAAGTAAAACAAAACAAACTGCTGCTCAGTATCCGTGTCGCTTAATTGATTGACAGATATCTCGACTTGTAACTGTTTTAGGATGGTCTTCAACATTCCATTAATACGATAGATAAACTAAATATCACGCATAAAACAGACCATCTGTCCTTCTAAATAATATCATTCTCACAAATTTTACACATTAACCGTATAAACAACCAACCGATTACTGTAGTTTATCCACAGCAATTTTTAAAGTCTAATCTATCTTGAAAAAGTTCACCATCCAGATCAAGACTTCTTAACAAACATGTTAAATCTCTGAAATAAATGAATTCATATTACTCTTCCATAGATATTGTTTTCACTATTTTCAGGAATTTATTGAAAGCACAAATCGATCAATCTTACACCACCGTTGTATATCTAGAAACACTGAATATCCGTTTCGTCCTAGTATGAGACTCCTCAGCACTGAGCACTTACACACACTCTCTCTCTCTCGCGGGACACAAACCTAAGACCTTCTTCCCATGAGAATGTGTAACCTATATAAACACATTCACTACTACAAAATATACAAATCTAAACAATGTTTTTATTAATACTAACCATAAAATTTATCTTTTTTATAGGGTTTACGATAATCATCTTGACAACTTTTATAACATTCTGGTGTGGAATAATAATGACTTTCACATAGTGGATAACTTTTTGTACTTGAATGATGATTACATTTAGGGAATGGATATGGTTGACATCCTGTATGCGTTTCATTTGATCCTCCTGTAACAATACCTTCATATTTCCAATAATCCCATGCCATTCCTGGAATACCACCGTTACAACCAAGACCACATCTTGTACAACAGCTTAATAGATTAACAGCACTTAATTCTACAGAGATTTTACTTTTAGAATGAATACAGATACGATCACTCATTGATTCAACAGCTCCAAAAGCCTACATCATTTTAAGACAGAAAAAATGGTTACACAACCCAACAGAATTGGAACATCATTAGAAGTATAACTGTAAATCAAAGAGTATTTGGCAAGAGTTTCATCTTAATGTTATTTTTTTTGTAAATTCTCACCTTCTCATACTTACTTACTTCGTGGAGGAGCATAGGCCACTCACCATCACTCTCCATCAAACCCTGTCCTCGGCTCCAGCTCTTTCCACTTGTTATTCATTCTTTTCACATTTGCTTCTATTTCCCTACATAATATGTTCCTTGACCTTCTTCTTTTCTTCTTCCCCTCAGAATTCCAAGTTAGCGCTTGTCTCGTGATTTCTATAATGTATGTCTTATCCATTTCCATCGTCTTTTCCTAATTTCCCCTTCACATGGAAGCTGGTTTGTTCTCTCCCACAGAAGGCTGTTGCTGATGGTATCCCGTCAATGGATGTTGAGTATCTTGCGTAGACAGCTATTTACAAATATTTGTACCTTCTTGATGATGGTTGTAGTAGTTCTCCAAGTTTCAGCTCCGTACAGTAGAACTGTCTTGACGTTCATACTGTGGATTCTGACTCTCATATTGATTGACAGTCGTTTCGAATTCCATATGTTCTTCAACTGTAGGAATGCTATCCTTGCTTTGCCAACCCTCGCCTTTACATCGAAGTCAGATCTTACTTGTTTATTGGTGATGCTGCCGAGGTGAGCATAACTTTTTCCATCTTCCAGAGATTCTACTTTAAGTATGGTTTAGCTGATCCTCTCTGTGTTGTACTTCGAGATCTTGTTTTTCCGTTGTGTATGATGAGGCCTACTGATACAAAGGCTACTGTTGTACTGTCTGTTTTCACCTGCATTTGTTGATATGGATGGGACCTTATCTAAGAAATTCAAAAAAGGGGAGAGTAAACAGTCCTGTCTAACGACGGTATTTACTTGGAATGCATCTATCAGTTGTCCTTCATGCCTAATTTCACAGTTCATTCCATATGATGTTGACGATTTTCAGGTACACCATAATTTCGAAAAACACCATAATTTTTTATCCACGCTATCAAACGCTTTCTCATGATCAAGGAAGTTGATTTATAATGACGAATTAAATTCAATTGATTGTTCAGCAGTGATTTAAAGTGTTGCGACGCGATCTGTTGCGGGATCTAGCCTGTTCCCTTCGAAGTTGGGCGTCTACTTAGTCTTTCATCTGATTCAATAATACTCTGTTTACAACTTTTCTTGGTACTGACAGTAGTGTGATGCCTAAAGTCCTCATACTTTCTGAAATTTCCCTTCTTTAGGCTCATGCTGAAAAGAAAAGATTAGATTCAAGAGAGATGCTGTTGTATTCTGGTCATGAAGGAAAAAAATGCTCCACACACGCAGTAATTTCCTGTATTGCTGTCCAAAGAAGCATGAAAAGCACCCATAGGATGGAAATCCTATCGATCTGGAATTCTCAAAGAATCCTTCAAAACAAAGAATGAAGGAATCACATTGAATTTTGTCCAGTATTATACATCCATTGATGATAGTAATAAAGATGATAAAGTTCAGAGGCCTCAGTCAATCGCACAGAAGTGCTCACGTAAGGAAACGGACTATCTTGATGGAACATCTAAATCCCAAAGTCGGAATAGACAACACCGATTATGAAGATATCATGGGACGATATGGACTGGAAGAAAGGAATGTGAATAGCAAATGATTTGCAAATTTATATATAACTTCAACAAAATTGTTATAGGTCGATGTACCTGCATCCTAGGAATATCTAAATGATGAGACTCATAAAGTAAAAAATACGCATCCTGGATTCTGCTTCTAGTCATATTACATCTCTTCTACACCACGAAGTCGTAGACAGTAACTTAGAGAGGTTTATATCAAACTAGGAGTATCTATAAAAAGATACTATTTATCAGTTACTAGGCAGTTAAACTATGAAAAGAAACTGATATGATTAAAGTGTATATAACATCATTAAACGACATGATTCTATAATAAGGTGAAATAGAAACGATATTTATATAATGAGTCCGAAATAGAACGAAACGCTCGTAAAACTGAACTCCGCTTCTACTCACTATCCATCTTTACTTAAAAAAAGCTTATGACTTCAAGCTTTACCAAGGCAGTACACACAGAATTCACACATGCCAACAAGAGACTACTGATCAATTACAGTCCTAAATAACAGTCAGAAGATACAAGTAAACAACATCACGTGAATGTAAAACTTCACCCTATTGCCGATACACACGTAAAACTGGATTCCACTTCTACCTGTTATCCATCTTTGCTCAGAAAACCTTGTGACTTAGGGCTATATTGAGACAATCTGCACAGAATCCACATGTGCTAACAAGGAGACTGATCATGTAAAACAACACCAAGCGATATATATATATTATTTTGTAAAATATAACAAATCACCTATTACCCAACATGAACCACATGAAGATTAATCACGTATTATTCGAATACTTGGACAATTCTTCCAATGTTTACGTGAATCAAAGAATTTTGGTAATTTAATATTAACATCATTGTCTAATTGTTGGACGTAATTTTACTCTTTGATTATTATCTTCCAATATAGCACCCATCATTAATTTAGCATCTTCAATTGTACTAAATCGATTAGTTCTTTGAGCTTTCCATCCAGCATTAGGCTACAATATATACAATACATGTATAGTTATTCATTTAAATTAACATTCAAAGTTGAATTTACTATACTACTTAAATATTCTTGTAAATTTAATGCAAAACCAATAAGAATTATTTATATGCTTACAAATGATTGAAATGAAGATAGATAGAAGATATTCAATGTCATAGTATATACAAGTCAACATCGTTTTAGTTAGATTCTGATGAGAATAATGAGTGGTAACTTTTGGGATCCATTTCTGAACTAATACTATACGTATACTTTTTATTGTATAAATGCCCAATAACTAAACTGTTCATATTCATGTTCCCCTTATCATAGGCTTCATTTTGACCTATGAACTATTATTATACGATTTACCATCCTTGAGTTATACCCAGTCTATTTCCACTTTTGACTAGATCTTGTACAAATGTTATCTTCTATGCTACGATGTGGTCTGTTTGGTTGGTATATAAACTTCGTATGTTTGAAATAAATGATTCGTATTGCAAAAACTAAGATTGGTGTTCTGGACTCTAACAGGCAGAGCTAGGCAGGAAGCAGGACCAGTAAAGATTTCTTGTACGGGTTTTCATGTGTTATTGGTTCGATCGATCAATCACTGTTCTCTAATTGGTAGTATCGTTACATCATAAATTAATAGGATACAGGGCACAATTTACAACAATTGGCGACGAGGTGGAAAACAAAGGACCAAGGGCATAAAATCATAAGTTATAACAGTTTTGAATAAATAAACACTTCAATTAAGCACATAAACATATGATTATGTATTAACTGGTGACTGTGGTAGTCCAATCAAAATTAAATAGAGCAAGAACAAAGATTGATACAGAATAGTATGAATTCATAATATTTCAAGGTTTCTGGCAGCTGCTTACAAACCTAAAAATGTGATAGAATTTTTTTACATTGAGATAGTGTGAAACGAAATTCATTATCCGCACGGCAATTTTTTTACCCCCCACCATGCTTTTTTAAATTTTTTTTTCAACCCCAAAATTACGATATTTTTCATCCCGTTCCTTCCAATGAAATGGCTAGTTTTAAAGTTCGTTTTAATTGGTTAGTTATGTTTTGTCGGATTTTTATAAAACATCAGTACTTGTCGATGAAGTACATTTTAATCATCATTATGGAGGAGAGTAACGTGCCGAGTGCAGGCGCTGTTGTTTCTCACGTAACAGAAGTGGAGAAAGTCTTTTTGACAACCTTGTTTCTCGTTGCATTCCCATCGGTTGAAGCGTTGAAGTCCGCTATCACAAATTATGAAAGATCAACTTACTGTCATTATGTAGTTCGAGATTCGCATTTGTGCAGAGATGAAAACTCGTATATTAAATTTGTGTGCTGGAGACATGGCCGTATAACATCTAGCGGTTCGTCACAGCGGATCAGACGTAGGAGGTAATTTTATTAATGTTATTAACATTTTTTGTCATGAAGGGCTTCCATGAACACTCAATGTCCGGCCTTCATGTATTGTAAGATTATCGACGGCTACTGGACTGTTGTAAGTGGGAATGTGCATCACAATCACGAGTGCAACTCCCTGAGGTACCAAAGTAATTCATGAGTGCGCAGGTTAACGGAGGCCGAGTTTGAAACTGCGCGACCGCTGCTAATATCTGGTACTGCTTCATTCCACATTAAAAATTATGCTTACCATTCTTATGGGAAACTACTGAGTGATCAAGATATCTATAATATGCGGTACAAAGTGTTCTCACAGGCGAACATTCCTGGTAAGCCATTTGTCAGTTTATAATGTAAACGATAGGTGATTACGGAAAATTTAAAGCGCACATAACATCTTTGGGTGGGCTATGCGAATACAAATTAGACGATGAGAACTGTGCTTATGATCCATCAACGAACGTACGAGCAGTCCACTGTCCGATGTGTGGCGCCATTACCAACTAACAATTACGACGTACGACCGCGAGAACGACAAATTGATTTAAATTCATTTTTCCCAATATTGTTTTTGTCTATGGCAAAGGTATTAATAATCGAAAAGCGATTATCATTCATGTATTCGTAAACATGTTTCTAATGTATATTCGATATAAAGGTTAAGAAAACAGACAAGATTTTGTCATTTGATGAACACTGATCTAATAATTTTAGATTTAAAATAATGTGATTACTGTTTATGTCTTAGTAACACATTTGTAAACTATCTAATACTAGTACATTTTGAGTACATTTTAATAGGAATATTTTAAAATAGTGAATATCGTAATTTTGTCGTTAGGTCTATAAATTTATGATGACATTGATTAGTTAATATAATCAGAT